TGCTTGTAGGACAAGTTTGAAAGTTGACAGTGTTCAGTGCTCAGAGCATGTGTCCTTCTGGACAGCCCACCTGGATCAAATACAGAGTAAAGCAGATTCCTTGCAAATACTAAATACAGCTGGCAGGCATATATATGTCACCTTCTCTGCACACCTAGCGTAGAAAAAAAAATAAAAACCAAAACAGGAGAACAAAAAGCTATTCAGACTGGTAGTCACAGCTACGAGATCCTGGCTGCTCGCTGAGTTAAGGCTGGGCCACCTCCTGAAGGCAGCTAGAGCACAGTTTATTTAGGTGTCATGTTTACCGTATCCACTGGCATTGCTTAAGGGGAAAAAAAACAGTGGTAAATCTGGCTTTCAGAAATGTTTAAACATGGGAACGGTCACTGGCAGGGATACTGGTCAGCTGCAGTGTTGGTGGCCATCACCATGGCTAACTTAGCCCACAAGTGTGCATACTGGGGGGAATGCATGGACACAGTTTGGAAACTTAGTTTTGGGAACAAAGCTATAAAAATTAGTGCCTGAAAATAAGATTTTGGAAGATACTAGAGCTAACTGAACAATTGTGCACATAAAATCTAGTTTTGCTGGATATAATGGAACTTTCACAGCAATGTTTTCTGCAGTTTGTAAATAAATGGATGTTTATCTGCTGGAGCAGGTTCCTAATACAAGCTTTTAGGAGACAGGAAGAAGAAACTCTTAAATATTGTTACAGCATCTGGTTCTATATATTTCAAGCTACTATTTCCATATTTGTACTATAAAAGATACAATTTTACATATATTTTATTCAAAAAATATGCCAGCTGCACTGTCATAATTTTTATAGAGAATATATAAGATACAGGTACCAACACAGATGACAGACACAGTTGCAAATTGAAAGATCATTCCTAAGGGAGCGAGAACAATTTTTTAGAGGTTCCTTTGTCACAGTGCCCACAGATGGGGAAAAAATGGTTGAAGTGAGAACCTCCCGAGCGTGGTTTGTTATGGATGCATKTGCACAGCACCAACAGTGCAGTGGCACGCTGCAGTGGCAGAGCGGAGTGAGGGATGACGAAACGATGCCAATAGTTTCATTAAACAGAGATAAAGTTGAGTGTGTCTTTCACAGAATCTTTTAATGCATCACGGAGATTTTAGTTGTCGAGCAGATGGCTCTCTGTAGTGACTATTAGCCACTTCTTCTCCCTTGAAGTTGAGCTGCCAGCACAGCTGAGTCCCCAACCCAACCCAAGACGTGAGACACCCAAGGCCACGTTCACGTTCGTTCCCATTGCTACAGGGCAGCTACCAATGCACCAGGGACTRCACATGGGCTGCTGACAGGACAGACTCCCCCAGGGGTTGTCATCACATGTTATTTATGTCAGCACTGTGCAATTTTGCTGCTAAAGGGTGTAAATCTTGCATACTTTTAAAAACAAAAAATTAGATTTTTACTGCCTTGCCACAAAATTATATGGCTACTGCTATGTCAAGTAAACAGGTAATGACCTGCATGAATAAATGATGTSCTGTGTTTCCTGCAGAAAGGGAGGGAATCATTGTTGGTAGTTACAAGTTGGGCATATGCTTCTTTGCTAAAGTATGAGCAGCTGCGGTTTCAATGTGCTCTCCAGGCAAACATTAGATCAAAATTAGATCAAAATAACATATGTTCCCTTACTTTMCTCTCTCTTCTAATGGAAGAAATGAAGTTAGCCACTGCTGCCCTTGCAGCAGCCGCACACATCTGTGATACTTTCCTCTGTTTCTGAGCCTGACAGAGTGCTTTGATATTACAATTAAAGCTCACCCAAACCTCAAGCACCATCACCAGGCATAGAGCCAGGATAACTTTGAATACATGTTCCAGTAAGCAACTAAACTAATGGCTGCTGGATCAGCGCGGTGACTTTAAAAAGGAACTGAAAGGGGTAATAAAATTAAAGTAGTCCTAACACTGCAGTTTCCAAACAACTTGTAAAATAAGCTGGAACAAGTTCATCAGAGAAACATTTGCTGTAAAAAGTGTAAAACTATGGGACTTGAGCCAGGCCAGCTGTGCTACTGCTCCTGCACCAGCAGATGCCAGAGGCTACGGATTCTGGAGGCAGCAAGCGTGTTTCTTTGCTCCTATTTTACCTCCGAGGCTGACACATGGTGCTGACAGCCTCTGTGGCAAGCTGTGCATGGCCTTCTTTGGCTGCAGGAGCACTGCTGATGTTGGTACTTGGAGTTTTAGCAGGAGACCCCATCGGTGTTAAAGCAAAAGAAGAGCAAAAGATTCCAGGTTACTGATGCTTTAAAGAAGGTTACCTGCAGCGTACAAGTCTGCAAGGCATGTGAACCACAGGGTGTAAAGAGGTCTCCATTTACTTAAAGGCAATGGACATACAGCTATTTATAGCTAACATTCAAGGGAAGGGCGTTCAAGGAAGATCTACCTTAATCAAAGACTCTGAGTCAGCACCCAAGAGAGCTGGGGTCAGCAGAAGGACAAAGACAAGAGTCAAGATATGTAGAAAGATGCGTGAAGCTAACTGGCAATCAAATAAATAAAATAAGGGGAGAAATACATGGCTCAGAAATTACACACATAAACAAGAAGATATTTCATGCATGCTTTAGCAAGAGGACTTATATCAGTTGATTCATCTAAAGAAGAARAACAGGAACAAAATCATAGAATTATGGAATCGCAGAATCCTTAAGGGTGGAAGGGACCTCTGAATAAGTATTGATAAGGCAAAATGAATCTGTATCTGCTTTACCTATGTTTGCTTTATAGAAAATACGGGMGAAAAATTTTCAACCTTCCAAATTTTAAGCAAAGCTGAAGTGCCTTGAACTTTGCTCAGAACAAAATAGCTTTGTGTCATGCAGCATCTTTAAGTATTTGTTTTAAATAATTAGCTCCATTAAATAATACACTGGTATCAGTCCCAGCTTATTATTTACTCCAGAAAATCTTACAGGCTTTGGGGCATCCTGTTTTCCTTCTTTTTAGTTCTATGWGTTTGTGAGTGTACTATAACATTTTATACACATGGAGCCACTTTTAKAATTGTATTATTTATTCAGTAGTTATGAAAATATTCTTACCAGTCTGAGCATTTTAGCATTATTATATAATATTGTACTGAATAATTTTAAGTACAGTAAGGTTTGCTTATTGAACCTTGAAGTACTAATAGGCATCGGGAATGGTGAGGATGAACAGCAGTTCAGTGGTTGATGTATTTATTGAAGTACTTTATTTTGKCATAAGTTTCTTTCTGCTCCCTTCTCCCAGTAAAAAACGTTGCCTACCTTTTGTGTCGGGACCTGATCTGATCTAAATTGCGGTTAAATCAGTGAAATTTGCACTGAATCATTCTTCCAATGGCTAGCAGGGCGCCTGGCAGACATACAGATGACAAAGTCCTCCYTCAAGGAGCTTAGTCTCAATTAGACATAACAGGGAGCAGCAGCAGGCTGTGCTAAGAAGGAAGATAGGAAGGCTCAGCAGCAGGGGGCAGGGAGAGCATAAACTGATTGCTGCTGCCATTTGGTTTAATATTTATCCTGCTTTTCTTTTTAATTCAATATAGTGAAGACATAGTGCCAGGATGGAAATTAGTGGTGGGAAATTAATTTAAAAAAAAAAAAAAAAAAAAGTGAGCCCTAAGGAAAGATTTGGAAAAAAAGAATGCGGATTAAGGTCTTCTGAGCACGCTTGGTGCACAGAGAGGTCAGCTGGGGAAGGAAGGGGAGCAGATGTGTCCTCTTGTGAGCTCCAGAAAGGCAAGGGGGTTCATTTTTACTTCTTCAAAAGGCTTCCTTTTGTACCGAGGTAACATTGGCAGTCGGGGCTTTATTACTGCTTGTAGACCTCGGGAAGCACCTCTTGGGCATGAGAATCAGCGCTCTTGCACCAGCAGCGGTGCTTTTTCTTTTTCTTTTTCTTTTTTTCTTTTATCTTCCTGTTCTCCTGCAGGCCCTGAGCGGGCAGGGGCTGAAGGACTCTGCGACACCGGCCGGGCAGTGACAGGAGGGGGCAGCGGGCCCTGACGGTCATGGCCCACGGGCAGCGCCGTGAGGGGAAGGGGAGCCAACATGGCCCCGCGGGCAGCGCCGTGGGGCAGATGGGGCTGGAGGAGCCGACATGGCCCCGCGAGCAGCGCTGCGAGGGTAGGGGTATAGGAGGGAGCCAACATGGCCCGCGGGCAGCGCCGTGGGGCAGATGGGGCTGGAGGAGCCGACATGGCCCCGCGAGCAGCGTATAGGAGGGAGCCAACATGGCCCGCGGGCAGCGCCGTGGGGCAGATGGGGCTGCAGGGGAGGACATGGCCCTGCGGGCAGCGCTGCGAGGGGAAGGGGAGCTAAACTGGCCCCGAGGGCAGCGCCGTGGGGCAGATGTGGCCGGAGGAGCCGACACGGCCCCGCGGGCATGGCCGCAGGGGAAGGAGGAGGCGGCGGCGGCGGCTCTTCCCG